GGGGGGGGGGCAGGCCAACCTTAGACCCCTACCTCAATCCCACATAAACATACCGCTTTCAGGCCTTATGTGGGGAAAATCAGAAAAAAAAGAGCCCTAAAACAGGTAGGTCTCCTTGGGATCCAGGTAGGCGCTGGCACATCCCCTGCCGTCAGGACTTTGTTCGCGAGAAGATGGATCGACTGCGCGTGGAGTGGAATGGAGCCATGGAGGTGACATCTGGGTAGTGAAAGTAGGGTCCCTTTTAGGGTTCCTTAAAGGGATCTAGGCTTCTTTTAGGGTTTGTATAAGGGTACTATACGGGTTCTATATATGGGTAGTTCTCTAATTTATGGTCCTTTTGAGGGTCCTTTTTATAAAGGTGCCGTACTCTATTGGGGACCCAAAAAGGGACCCTAATTTTGAGAACTACCCATGTGGATGATGGGAAGTATGGTGTATTTCTTGTTATGTTATGGGTAATGCAGGATTTAGATCATCAGCCGTACTCTAAGGGTCCATGTATCCAAACAGTAAGGTACTTCAGGCCTTAAAGTAGTCCCTATAGAGGTACTCTGGGGCCACTGTATGTACTATATGAGTACGTGGACTCTTGGGATAGTGGTTGCTCAAACAAGGAATAGGGACAGTGTAGGGTTTAGGGTGCAGGGTTTAGGGTTTAGGGTTTAGGAACAGGGTTCACAGAGCCCAAGCTGTGCTATGAATTTGTCGTCCGCGCAGCTCGCATTCTCAAGGGAGTCTTGCGAGGTATATGCCCAGGATCCGTTGATTGGCAAGGCAAGGCATCAGTTTCCGGCTTAATGTCTTGCGAACTAACATAGAGTCCTCAAGACTTCTACTACATCACCGACTGCCTTATGCAGATACTCCATCTGTAGTACCCCCCCTCTCGTTTTAGCAGCATTTTGTATTTGTGTGCGGGCTCTCGATGGCGGCGGTGGCGACCATGGAAGGCTTTGAGGGCTATTGGGGCCCGCCGACAGCCACTATGGACTGGTGTGAAGGGAACTACATGGTGACCCTGGGCTTAGCGTTTAGGGCCGTTTAGGGTTTAGGGTTTGCATGGATTTTTGACAAAAAATGGTTCTCTTGTGCGTATGTTGCTGTCCTTATAACTCTCCCATACTCCAACACCCCAAATTGAAGCGGCTTGGGTTCTCCTTTGCAGGAAGTTATACTAGAGAAACGAATTGTCGGGTTACCTTCGCCCCTTGAGGGACGTTCCATACTCAGGCATGTTGAGAGGGTCAGGTGCTTTTAGCGGTTTCAATCGACTCTGATTGTTTTGTAGGGCTTCGTAACAAGCCTTATGGTTAAGAGACAAGATGTATTGTTCTTGCGTTCTGCACGCTTTGATTTGAAGCCGTTAAGTTTTATTTCGGTGGTGCTGGTGATGGTGATGGTGCTGGTGGTGCTGGTGGTGCTGGTGGTGCTGGTGTTGCTGGTGCTGGTGGTGGTGCTGCTGGTGGTGGTGTGCTGGCGCTGGTATTGCTGGTATTGCTGGTATTGGTGGTGAGGTTCAGGGGTTTGCGTTTACGGTTGGGGCTTTCAGGCACTGAGGGTAGGACTTCAGGTTGGTTGAATCTGAAAGATGCAGTCGTCTTGCCGCAAGGCTTCGTTTTCAGCCACTGGACCGTGGGTCTAGTTCTGGAGCACCTGGAAGTTGAATCCGCAAGCCTACTAAAGCTCAAGTCAAGACAGGCCCAACCAAAAATCACTACCCGGAGACAAGGACGCCCTATGCTGCCGAATTCTTCAACAGCCTCACATCGATGTTCATCGCTGTTGCTGGCATACTGCCCATCTTAATTCACTTCCGGAGGAGAGACTGCATGGAATGGAGGCGACGTTGGGACAGACATGGACAGACCCAGAATCCTGACAGCCTCAAGCCAAACCCCAAGCTCTGAGCCATAAGCCCACGGGCCCCACAACGCCTCTACCCTAACGCCCCATACTGTACAGCTTCGCAGAACAGTAAGCCCTTCGCCCTGCAAGGTTCATTATCGCTTTTCTGAGCGTAACCATCGTTGGCTTGGGAAGTGTCGCTTTCCATGGGACATTGCTTTTCGAGCACCAGCGCTGGGACCAGGCATGCGAAACCCAGCTTGTGGTATTAGCGTTGCTTCTGAATAGGTTCCCAGACCCTCAAAGCAGGAAATGTGTCAGGTTTGTTTGAATTCGGGTCCCCCTTTTAGGGCCCCTTAGAGAGATCTATAAAGGTTTCTATAATGCTTCTATAAGGGTACTTATAAGGATTCTGTATGGGTCCCCTTTTTGAAGGAACCGACGAGACGGCCAAATCCTCATAAAAAAGGGGTCTAGAAGGCACCCAACTTTCGAGGACTACCCGCATGTAAAGGGGAGGGTGGGGGAGGGGGCGGGGGACTTTACTGTGCAATCGCCGAAACCCAGTGAGGCCCACAGTCCTAGAATCGGGGAAGACTCACCAAATCCTGATGAATATAAGCCTTAAGCCTGAGCTCCCTGGCTGATCTAAGTCCCTAGCCGAGAACACCCTAGCGTGATTTCCGAGATTATTGGGCTCTTCGGGAATACCGGGAAGTCAAAAGGTCCTTGCTGCCTCTATGTAGGTGCTTAGGATCCTTCCTTGGGGTAACTCTGGGGCCACCTGCCACCTCTCCGAAACAACCCCCAAAGGGCCCTTCAGGGGTTTAGGGGTTCAGGGTTTAGAGTTCAGGGTTTATGGTTCCGGGTTTAGGATCTATGCCTTTTTCAGCCCCAAGGCCCAAACCTAAACCATGAACCTTGCACCCTACACCCGGGTCTGGAGCTTAGGGGTTTTAGGCCCGCACCTTCCGCCGGCCCCAAAAACCACAAGGCCTCCACTTCTCCCAAGAAATTCTTACGCCTGCCCTCACCCCAGCAAATTATCCCGAGCCACTATAAGCCTGTCCAGGTGCCGATGCTCTGGACTGTTGCATCTCGCCTTTGTTTAGACTGCAAGGTTCTGGCTCTTCTGAAACAGGGCATCCTTCAAGGCATCCATAGTATGGCCACGTGGGAAGTGAAGATGCGACCGTTTCGTTGCCACTTGCTTTTTTGGTTACAAAGGTGGCCATCGTTAAAGCTTGTTGCCGATCCCATGTACATAACGCTAACGATAACTATCGCGGAATTTGCTCGTGTTTGCATCTTCACTCAGGGACCTGTTGTTTCGCTATGTCAAGGGATGCGACAGCCTAATCCTGACCCTACCGAAACCCTGAACCCGAACAGCTGACACTAAATGGGGGTTTCCGAAAATAGGGGACCCTAAGGTAGTACCCTAAATAGTAGGACCCTTATTATAAGGACCCCCCAAAAAGGCACCCCCTACTTTTCGGAAAGTCCCAAATCCTAAGCCCTAAGACCAATTGTGCAGATCTCCTGAGGCCATGATCCTCTATGTCTTGTTCGAGCAGAAGCATGTTCAACCAGCTTACCGCATCTTGCCAGTGGCCTTGTTGCTGGGCTTCCTCTAGAGGCTTTGGCGCTAGGATTTCCTGCGGGGCTGGGGCATGGGAAATGCTTGAATGAAAGAAGGTCTGCGGGCATGGCTGTTAGTTGTAATGTGGGTTAAGCGTGTCGGTGTTGGTTTCAGAGCTAGAAGACAGGGATGTGTGTATATATATATATATACATATATATATACATATATAAATACTATGCTAGCCGGTGACTCTCGTTGGAATCACCAACACGATCCTACAGGCCCTAAGCCCTGAAAGCTGTACGTCCTCGGCCTCAACTTCACTTCTAAGCCCTAAACCTCGCAAGCCTTAACCCCTTTGCACCTTCATATTCCTCGACTGGACGTTCACATCAGGTTTGTATATGCCGTGGTCGCCACATTGGCGACCTCCAAGCGAAGCGGAGACATGCAATGGTTCTCCTTCCACGCGTTCTTCGGGCTGGCCACTTTCCTCGCTGTCTGCAAGGCCTTCCTTGAAGATGGGAGTGGTTCAGAAATTGAGGGACCTCTGATGTAGACCCTACTTCATTGGAACCCTACTACAATAACACCCGCACACAGAGCTGGTACAACTTACAGCTCAGGAGCTTAAGGCTATCATAAGTTTTGGGTTAGGGGTATAGGGCTTGGGGCCCCGAATGTTATATTGAGGTCTGAAGTAGTAGTAGTAGTAATAGTAGTAGTAGTAGCAGTAGTAGTAGTAGTAGTAGTAGTAGTAGTAGTAGTACGGAGCCTTCGTGATCCCGAAACCCTAAACCCCTGTAGCATCCCGTCCAGAGACCTTTCAATACAAAGGCACCCCTTAACGGAACCTCAGTAGTGGATCTCCCCGGCCAGAACTCACAGCAGAATCCCACAAATTCCTATGAGGCCCCCTACTGGTGATGATATAAATCCTTAGCATTACCCCAAGGACCCTAAACTATGGGAATTATGGTATATTCCTTATTATGGGTAATGCAGGATTCAAATCATCAACCGTAGTACAGTAGTATACTTGTGCCCTTTTTGTCTCTCAAAACGGACGAATAGGAAAGAGCGTACCCCTATGATCACGACGGGATAGCTGGGGCGCCAGGTCATGAGGTTCTCTGCTGCAAGGCTCATGGTAGTTCTCAGCACAGCTACAGGCTACAAGTCCGCTAACTTAGTCGATGTAAATGCACTGAATTAGAGCTCTGATCAATAAAAATATTAATGATATCAATCATAGTAACAATATAGCAGTAATAATATTGCTAGTAGTGATAATAATAAGAATAAGAATAACAATAGTAATAACAATAATAATGATAATGATAAAAATCATAATAACAATAATAATAATAATATGGTCTCCCCAGGTATAACCCCACCTACATGGCCTTAGATAGCAGCAGCCTTAGAATAGAGATCTCGAGCGAGGGAGGGCCTACTTTCCAGAGCTTCCTTAACCTTGTTTTAGGGTTTGGGGTTTAGGGTTTAAATTTTAGGGTTTAGGGCTTTAGGATTTACCGAAAACCCTAAACCCTAACTTAGGGATTGGGGTTTTAGGTCTAGGAGTGCAGGGGCTGGGAAGGCGGATAGTGACGGCTTTTGTTTCACAAGATTTCGGGTTCAGGGTTGTCGGAATCCCGTTTCGTTTGCGTGAGGTTTGCCATGTATATATTGGTTTTGAGGTGTGTTGGTGTAGTCGTAGTATGATCCGAGACCGGTTCTCATTCGAAGCCTTGGGTAGAGACGTGCCATGCCGGTGGTGCATGGTGCAACCCGCTTCCCTCAACGTACTACATAATTACCTGTACCTCACCTGTCGTGCCTGGTGTCGACTACTTTGTGGTCTTATTAAGGGTCCTGAACGGAAAGTATGTAGCTGTTGCTAAGGTGCACTCTGAAATCGTGCCAGGTGACGCTGTTCTACCGCAGCTTGCCCACAGACATGACGGAGTTGAGAAAAGTCATGTCGTGACTCGGTTTATTAGTAATTTTTGATTACAGTAGCAACGTGGTTCTCGTGTGCCGATTGGGCATTTGCCTCAGTATCAGTAGCACAAGTCCAGATCCAGAGAGCCCAATATCCCTTAAATAAGGAATATACCTTAAATTATAGGGGCCTTAATATTATGATTTACGGTATATTCCTTAACTAAGGGGTATTGGGCTCTCTGGGGACTGCTATCCCGGCCACCTGCTGTTCAGGTACGGTTTCATCGCTTTGGGGGTGGCGATTACGGTTTGGCTGATGGACCTGAAGCTTTGCAACCAGCTGCACATGCTGCTTCAATCGGCATTTGGTAGCAGTTGCTGAACCCTGAAGAAAACACTGAACCCCGAAAGCCCTGAACCACACGACCCCACAAACCTGAACCCTCAAAAGAGCACGACACGAGGCTGCCCGCCTACGACTACTGGAACTTTCACGCCTGGGGCTGGCATTTGATGGTGTCTTGCGGCCTCTACAACATCTTGATCGGAATCTGGTACCATCGACTCAAGGCCGGCAGCTTCAAAACAGGGTTGTTTAGGGTTTAGGGCTTTTTGCAGGTTTAGGGTTTAGGGGGACCCCATTGGGGGGTTTAGAGAAGAACTAGTGTAAGCTTTTGCGCGTATTGGAGATGCCCTGGACAGTAAGATTCTTGGTACAAATGACCACCCGAAACCAGGGACCCCCCAAAAAATTCAAGTATCGAAACCTTGAGGTGGTTCTGGAGAAGGATGTGAGCTTGTGCCTGTCACCTCTCCCTCACATCGCCTTCGTCCCGCCGAAGCTCGCTTGAGCTGACCTCGCGCTCTTGGCCGAGAAGTGTCTGAAAGCTCTGTAAAGTATCCCCGAAATCGAGGCCACACGGGCGTTTCAGAGAAAATCGGGAACTCAATGCAGACACTGGTATTCTCCTTCCAGGGACCCCCCTCCCCCATTTGGGGACACATTTCCTGAAACCCCCGTCTCGTCCGAATGCATCTTTGGGCCGACAGGTGGCTAAGGAGCCATCGCTCAGACATGCATCCGGTAAGAAGTTGCCACGGACAGCAGATTCGGCGGCATCTCGCAAAAAGACTGTAATATAGGGACCGAAAGTATAGAGTGTTGGGGGTGTTTCAATATCGAATCACCAAAACAGTATTGGTAATTTTTTAGGCCCCTACAGTAGGATGTCAGAGCTTTGACCTGTTTTGGCTTACTTGTTTGGTGATTCTTTTTCAAGTTTGAACTTTCCGGGCCTGGTTACTGAAGAAGTAGTTAGACTTCAGACATCTTCTGAAGCTTCATTCACGCAGAAATGTTGAAGGGTGGCGGAACAAGGCCGCGCGTCAAGTCTAAGATTTGCAAGGCCCCAGGGTCCGCGGTGTAGGATTTATGGGCACAAGAGCACAAGTTCCCCATCTGTGTTCCCAGTTAATGTAAAGGTATCATCAAACGCCTAATAACAAGACTCCAGAAACTCTTGCTTCGTGCTTGCATCTGGTTAAGTGCGAGCCAACATCGATCATCCGTCTTGGGTTCAGCTTGTTGTGGAGCTCCGGCCGTCGTCGCACGAACGCATCTGGGGCATTGCATGATCGTTTGAGAGGGTCGCGAAAATCAATCAGATGGCCGGTCAGGTGCACACTCCCCTGGACTCCCACCGCTCCGCCCGTTTCCTGAATACACATGCGTGCCCATCGACGAGCCGAAAGATCTGAAGCATCGAAACGTTATCTGAATACTTCGTGGAAGGAGGAGCGGGCACGCACTATGGAACGTTCTCAAGCTCTCAGCCGGGCACTGACGGAGGCCTGCTGACAGTGGGTGTGCCCTGTGTTGATTTCTGGAGTTTCAGGAGACTCCCTAAGACTGCAATATAGTGAACTCAAGCTTGACTAAGCTTGACAGTGATATTCGGACGATGTCAGCAGCTTTTTGCGGCATATCCTAGTATCCATCAATTTTGCTCTGGGAGCCCTAAGGAAGAGTATCAGTACCAGCAGTTTCTCGGGCTAGTTGTGGCCCCTACAGTTCTCCAGCTACTTTGGGGTTTAGGGTTTTAAGGTTTAGGGTTTAGGGTGTAGCCCATGTAGACTAGCTACTAGCAACTTCTTGTCCTGAAGCCGAAACCACCCTAAAGCCTACACGACACGATGCGAAACCATGATCCCGGGATCGGAGAGTTGGTCGTCTATGGGGTCCTGAAGTTTTCAAGCCTCCAACCCAAGACCGCACGTCCTGGGGAATCCTCCACCTACCTTCATCCCAGCCCCGGGACCGTTCTTCAAATCCTAGACCGTCACGGGTTCGATGCTACTGCTCATCATCATCCCCTATAAACCCTAAACCTGAAGTCCGTAAGCTCCCCTTTCTCCAAACGCAAGGAGTTCGAGCGCAGCATTGTGGCTCAGGCGGTCGCCGAGGCAGGTTTCTGCGGTGTCGGTGTCGGTGTCGGTCGGTCGCGGTCGGTGTGTGTGTGTGTCGGTCGGTCGGTCGGTCGGTCGGTCGGTCGGTGGATGTGTGTTGCCCCCGAAGTTCGAAGGGAACCATGTTCAACTTGATATGTATGATACCAAGTGCCTCAGAAGGTGCGAGGGATCCACCAGCAGGGCATTTGAGTCTGACTCGTGCACCTGCCATACTGCTTGCTTGTGTATTTGGGCCCCTGCTGTGTAATCATGACCGGGGCTAAGCAGCTAAGCCAAGAACCCCACGGACCGTGTCTCAGTTCTCAGCTCTCTCCCTGGATCGGTGCACGCGTGATGACGACGAGAAAACTGAGCAAGTAGGACCTCCAGGATCCAACTCTGATTTCTAAGCTTTCTACGGGATCGCAAGATGATCCACGAATCACTAAAATCTACTTCTGAACCCTACAAAGCCTACATTGTTTGGGTTTCCCAGAGTAAGGAACCCCAGCGAAACAACAATAAAACTATGACATCGGCAATAAAAACAATGACAATAGTCTGACAACAGTAAGAAGCTTACTATTTCTTGCATGTGTATTTCCTGAAAAGGTATAGGGTTGCAAGGGTTCGTGCAAATGAACCAAAGTCAAGCTGCAAGTCTGGGGCTTCACTGGGGATTGGAATTCGAAGTGCGGCGTGGGGTCTTAGACCCCATAGCCCAGGCCATAATCCCTGAACCCGACGGAAACATGCAGTCTGGAGAAAGGCATAAAACAACACAACTTAGTCCTGATAGCACGAAGTCAGCGAGTCCGACTCGTAACCTCTGATTAAACACAGTCAGAGACTAATAGAACCCGCAATGCAACCATTCCACCCTACCCATAGGCCCCTAAGTAGTTCCTTTTTGTGGTTCATGTTTAGAATCCTATAAGGTAATCCCAAAAAGGAACTACTTACGGGCCTATGAATAAACCCTAAACCGAGCCACGCCACGCCAGGCTCGCACGGAGGCGCGCTCGGCGGTGGCCGCCGAGGGCCACCGCGCCAGCGACGCGGTGCAGCAGGCGGTCGTACTTGCAGGGTTCGCTTATGAGGTTCCTTTAAAGGGGTTCCCTTAAAGGAACCCGTATATAGGCGTCTTTAAGGGTTCCATTAAAGGAGCCGCTTGCAGGTTCCTTTTTAGGAACCTTCAAAAGATTCTGGAAGGATCCCTTACAGGGACCCCTTCTAGAAACCTTCCAGGAACCCTCTTCCTGGAGAAAGGCCCTTCAACACCAAAAAGGAATCCCCCAAACCCTAAGCGCTAAGCCCTGAACCCCAAACCGTAAACCCTAGACCCTAAGCCCTGGGCCCTAAACCTTAAACCCGAGACCTTAGGCCCTACAAACTAAACCGTGGACCCTAAGCCCTAAACCCCTAAACCCTAGACTTCAAGCCCTAAACCCCAAACCGTAAACCTGAAACCTGGATTTGATCCTGGAGTTCCGAGACCCGCGGAGTGCATGAAGCCTGACAGGGGGTCTGCCTGTAACCGAGAAGACGTTTTGCACAAGGTAAGAGTGACGTCACCCTAAACCCTAACCCCGAAACCCTAAAATGATGAAGCCTACGAAGCCCTTTACATTTATAGTCTATATAGTAGAAAGGGGCCCCAAAACCCTATTCCAATTACTCAGGCCCTTATATTGCCCGGACCCTCTTGTACCCTCCAATAGGGGTAAAGGATCCCACGTAATTGGTCGATGGAGTGTCTACAGTAGGTAGACTTTTCATATGTTCTCAAGATAAACAAAGGCCTACACGCGTAGGCCTGTTTGGGTTACCGGTAGGATTATGGCTCGGCCCTACTTGGGGTCCAGGTATAACGTGTCAGCACCTGGTCAGCGAACCCGCCCGGTTCGAGAAAATTCGGGACCCCGGCTTCAATGCTCAAGCTGAAGAGATTTCACATTGCCTTGGCTCACTTCCCTTCGGCAGCGAAAAGTTGTACAGTAGAAAGCCATCCTTCGAAGTTGTGGATAGAGACTAGTCAACCGCAGCAGCCTACGCTTAAGGCCCCAGAGCCACCATGTGTTCGAGCGACAGGGAGCTTTCATTACACTTTATGAAGGATGCCCTTCCTTCAGGGCTGCCATGGAAACGTGCAGATGTTGGCCAAAGCTTTGCCAGCTCCACGCCCCTGGCGCGGACCGGAGCGACCGGAGGTGTTCCCAAGCTCACGGTGGATGCACTCCGCGCGGCCGCTTGTCTCAACATCAAGATAAAGCCTAAAACTTAAGCCTTGCCATGCTGCTAGCCTTGTACAACGGTCCTATACTGAAAAAAGACAGAAAGAAACTCGATTCAGATCCTCCAGAGCTCCGCCACGGCGCCGTGCGTTTGAGCGCGGCCGGCTTGCACCAGATCTCCGACCACGCCGAGCAGCCGTCATAGCGGGCCTGAGTCTTGACAAAACAGGCTAGAATCGTCTGGGGGGGTTGATGTTTGTGGGATGCTACCAGGGGTTCAGTAGCTATGTGCAGCAGCTCTCATATAACCCTATAAACCTAAGTAAACCCCTGCATAGCCCTGTAAAATACGTGTCATGAAGTCCCTAACTCCACAGTCCTTAGTAAGTTAAGTTCTTATCACTGAGGAAGAGCATTGAACCCTGAATTATTCCCTTCCCCCTAATCTGAAACGGCCCCCCCAATCCAAACTCGGAAGGTGTTTTTGTTATGTGGGGTCTTTTTATCTCTACTGCCACTTTTCAGGGGTCGTGGCTCTTGCTCCCGCTCCGGCTCTTGCTCCCGCGCAGTCTTTTGCTCCTGCTTCTGCTTCGTCTCTTGCGCCTTCTCCCGCTCTTGCTGTTGCTACCGCTCTTGCTCCTGCTTTTGCGCTTACTCCCGCTCTTGTTTTTGCTTTGCTCTTGCTGCCGCTCTTGCTGATGCTCCTGCTTTTGCTCTTGCTCTAACTCCTGCTCTTGCTTTTGCTCTTGCTCTTGCTGTGCTCTGAGGGTATTTGGAGCCTCGAAACCCTCCCCCCAATTCAGAATCGGTGTTAAAGGGCATGGCTAATTTCGGGAGGATTCGACGCAATGTGGTTTTATTATTAGGGGGTGTTTAATATCAAGTGGGAAGTGCTTATGGATCCATAGTTGTTGGCTACATGTGGGAGTTTCAGACAAGGAACCACCACAGAGACCTTAAGTTGTAGCATCCTTACGACTCCGCAGCACTGCGTGCTAATATCCCTTAGCATCAAAATGGCCCAAAAGCCTTATATAGTAGGGGCTGTGGGCCCCAAAGCCCTTAAAATATGAGTCCTTTGAGGGTAAGGGTATTGAACTATTGACTACACCTGCAGGCCCTGGGGTTGAGCTTGGGATTGTTTATTAGTGCAAACCCTAAGGGTCCAA